CACTACGTTGGTCTGGGTGAAAAAGATCAGGAAGCACTATTGGTTCCCCAGGTGTCTGGGGACCCAAGACTAGGAATGGCGCAGGGCCCAAACTAGGAGTGTAGAACGGCGAGGGGGGGGATGGAAGGGTGAATGTCGCTTAGGGAGTCCCGGCGGGGAGAGCTGCGCTATAGACTTACCCCAAGAGGCCTGAGGATAGTAGTGCAGGCTAGGAGAGTTTGCCGGTGGTGCAGGCCCAGGGAAGCAGAGAGAGGTGAGGGCGGGGCCAGGACCAGAAGCGGTGCTCCTGGAGCCCAAGAAAGGGACTGAGTTGCTCTGGGTGAGAAGGGTCCGGAAGCAGTATTGGTTCCTCAGGTGTCTGGGGCCCCAAGACTAGGAATGGTGCAGGGCTCAAACTAGGAGTATAGAACAGCGAGGGGGGGCGGTGATGGAGGGGTGAATGTGGCTTAGGGAGTCCCCGCGCCCGGGCGCAGAGAGCTGCGCTATAGACTTACCCCAAGAGGTCTGAGGATAGTAGTCTAACATGTAATTTTTTAAAAGAGTAACGGACACTGAAAAGAACATGAGTGGGTATGGATTTCTCAAAGGAGAGTCGCTTCCCAAAATATATCTGGAAAAGGAGCGAGGTCACACTCAAGTTCATATACATTCAGATCTGAGGCGCAGAGAGCTGCGCTATAGACTTACCCCAAGAGGTCTGAGGATAGTAGTCTAACATGTAATTTTTTAAAAGAGTAACGGACACTGAAAAGAACATGAGTGGGTATGGATTTCTCAAAGGAGAGTCGCTTCCCAAAATATATCTGGAAAAGGAGCGAGGTCACACTCAAGTTCATATACATTCAGATCTGAAGCCTTGTTTAGTCCTATTTTAATATTCTTATTTAAATATTCCTATTAATATTCCTATTTAATATTCTTATTTAAAAACATTTCCCTATAATGCTGTAAATGGTGTTGAAATTCTTGATTCTCAGCTCATGAGAGGCTTCAACCAGACTCTGGAATGAGGGACCCTTTTTTTGCTTCCCATGTTCCCATAATTTTTCCTCTTTCTACCTTGCCACAGAAGGGCCCCATTCCTTTGCTTAAAGCACTGGTACTCCCTTGGTCAAGCACTTCTGCTTTTCATAAAGTTTTGGTTTCATTTTGCTTTCTGTTTATAAAAATCGTATGAACTGGGTGTGGTGGCACACGCCTTTAATTCCAGCACCATGGAGGCAGGGACAAGCAGATCTCTCTGAGTTCAAGACCAACCTTTCTGGTGTACACAGAGAGACCGATGTCTCAAAAAAAAAAAAAAAAAAAGTCTTGGGTTCTTCACATTTATCCAAAAGAAAGCCTGAGAAACACCATAGTACTACCTTGGATTAAGCATAACGGGTCAGAGAGTGTTAAGCACTGGGGCCCTTTCATTTATACCTCTCATGGTCTGAAGCAGAGCTGTAAACAGGAAGAGCACAGCTCATGGCTGAGTGTTGTGGACAGGGTCTAACCTTCAGAGACACACAGGCCAGTGAAGAAACAAAACAAAACAACAATAAAAACCCTGATAGCTATGTAGAGGAAGGTAAGCATGGATGTCATCTATGAGTTAATGGGAGTCATGAGGAAAGATGGAAAGGGTCTTATCTGAGAGAATTTGTCCACGTAATGGGGTCATTTCGAATTACTTTGGAACCTTTCAAAAAGTGGGGAGATTTCTCAACTCTGGCTGTTTTACTAGCGCCAAGAACTCAGATAAAGTTCAGTGTTATCAAGCACTTAGCATAAAGCATGGCATAAAGTGTGTGCTTATTTTCAGTCTTTTCCTCTAATAGAAAGATGCCCAAGATGTTTGTGGGGATTCAGAGAAGGACCTCATAGATTCACTAGCTAATAGTTAAGGGCCACACTGCTGTGGCAAATTCCCAAAGACTCTCTCATGATTCCCATAAGAATTACAGATTATTCCTTGGGAAAACTGAATTTGACTAATGATCGTAAATATCAAAGATGAAGAGTACTTTGACAGAAACAGGGAAGACAGGAAAATGTTCTGGTATGACCAATCTTTCTTGGCAAGAAAAGACACAGAGGTTTAAAAGAACCATGGGAAAATGACATTTTAGAAATTGGCTGAAGAAAAGCACATATAGAGAATGTACTGCTGTAAAGTGCAAAAGAGACACTCATAGCAATAAGATGATTGGCATCTACTGTTTTTTTCTGAAGAGCTACACTGGAAAATAACTTCTGTGAGGACTGGAAGAGTCCTAAATATGTTCAGCCAACTGGTAAACTCAGAAGGACTTCACAGTATTACTTTCTTCCCAGAATCCCCAAATTCCAAGGAATTCTTTGCTGTTGTTGTTAATTGTTTAGTTTTGAGACAAAGTCTCATGATGGTACCTAGGCCTTCTGTACTCATTGTGCTGAACTCACTGCCATCCCACCTCAGCTTCCTAACTGCTAGAATTACAGAGCTGAGCCACCAAGGAATCCTAAGGAATTATGCAGAAAAACTAAGTACATCTTTGCAGATACTGAAACCAATAGCATTGGAAGACTGAAGAGTTCAAACTCCTATAATTTTAAGCAGTGGTAGAAAACTGGAGACCAAACTGAAATCCTCATCATACAGATGGGGGGAGGGAGAAAAAGAAAAAAATTCAGAAAGGGGCAGAGCCTGGTCTAAAGTCACACTGATAGCGGCAAAGCATAGGTAAGACTAGAGCCTGGTCTCTATAATCTCAAGAAAACTCTAATTCCAGTCACTCAGGCCTCATATCACCATGCAACAGGTGGATTCCAAGTTATTTATTTATTATTTTAAGAAATTATTTATATTTATTTCATTTTGTTTTTTGAGACAAGGTTTCCCTGCAGTCCCAGCTGGCCTGGAGTTTGCCATGCTGACCAGGCTGGCCTCTATGTCAGTCAGAGATCTGCCTGCCTCTGCCTCCTCAGAGGTGGGATTAAAGGCACGCACCTAGCCCGAAGTCTGCATTAAAAATATTTTATTTACTGTTTTAATTTTAGATGCATGAGTGTTTGCCTGCATGTACGTAAGTACACCCATGTCAGGCAATGCCCCCAGAGGTCAGACGGTGTTGGATTCCCTAGTATCTGGAGTTATGGCAGGGCTTTTTTGCCACCATGTGGGTGCTGGGAACCGAACTCGCCTCCTCTGCAAGCACACCCAGTGCTCTAAACGGCTGAACCGTCTCTCCAGTCCCCCAATTTATTTTATCAACGGTTTTTATTTACCGTGGGTTTTGTTATATTTCCATACTTTGTTCATTTTCACCTCCTGCCCCAATCCCATCTTTGCCTATCCTGCCCCTTCTCACCGTTCTCTCTCCTCCTCCCAAATACCCTAATAGCAATTTATTTTTATTTTTATTTTATTTTTATTTTTTTGACACGGTCTCCTTAGCCCCAACCCGCCAAGAACTCACTATGTAGATGAGGCTGATCTGGATCCCCTAGAGATCTGCCTGCCTCTGCCTCCAGAGTGCTGGGATTAAAGGCGTGAGCCATCACGCCCAACAGGCTGGTACCAATTCAGACCGCATTTCCCTGAGTACTTGTCAGGAAAGCAGATTTTGTTCAATCCAATCCCACCTATCTGTATATTAGACATTTTCTCTGTAGTTCTGCTTCATTCTATCGGGTTAGGCAACAAAAACATACCTTAGCCGGGCGTGGTGGCGCACGCCTTTACTCCCGGTACTCTGGAGGCAGAGGCAGGCGGACCTCTGTGGGATGGAGTCCAGCCTGATATACACAAAGAGTTCCAGGTCAGCTGGGGCTACAGAGATACCCAGTCTCAAAACACTGAAAGAAAAACTTACCTCAAAGCACATTTCCAGGAGCCACTCTAACCGACGACAATTCCTCCGCAGACCGCCAAGGGGCGCAAACTATACTTTTGCCTTGCAATCCAGACACCGTTTCCGGTCTGGGACAGAAAGCGCTGCGGAACCTAGAAGCTGAACGCTTGTAGGTAGTAAGGTTGCTTTGTGGAAAGAACACTTCCGCCCACCGAGGCGGCAATTCTCGCAGGCAGGCCCATAGCCCACATTCCGATTGGTCATATTATTTCTGGGAGGCGGGCTTGAGTCGGGGCCGTTCTCTGTTATTGGCTGCTGAGGTGGCGGCCCTTTGGAGTGAGGGTAGCACGTTAGGCGACGGTAGTCGGGACGCCGCGAAAGCCGGCGTTCTTCAGTCTCAGCTCTGGTGGGAGTCCCGGACCGGACTCGGTCTGGTTCCCCCGGGGATGGATCGCGTGTGTCGCGCGTGGTTCGGGAAATGCGTCAAAGAGAAAGGGTCGTCGCTGTTCTGTACCCGCAGTATCGTGGTCTCCTGGCTCAGCAGGGCCGAGTGGGATCAGGTGACGGTCTATCTGTTCTGTGATGACGAGAAATTGCAGCGGTACGCGCTGAACCGTATTACCGTGTGGAGGAGCAGGTAAGGCGGCGGGCTCAGCCCTCTTTCCTCCGTGCTGGTGGTGCCTCGCCGCTTTCTTGGTCGAGTTCCGAAAAAGCCGGGTTTTTTTTTTGTTTTGTTTTTTTTTTTTTTTTTTTTTTTTTTTTTTTTTTTTTGTAGTCCCCGAAATCGCCTAATGTTGCCTTTCTCCCAAGTGCCTGGGGGAAAGTTGCAGCCGAGCTCTTGCACTCATCCTGTTTGTGGAAGTAAAATAAGAGCGTGCGTCTCAACAGCACTTTTCTGTCGTTGAGGTTTAACCTCAAAGGGGGCCTGAGCCAGGACTAAAGGCGAGGTTAACATGCTAGGGTGGCTTTCTGAGTCCAGTTAGAGATTGGAGTGTAACCCTTTAGGTTAGGAGTGGGATGGAGGTGGAGGCTCAGTTCAGTTGATTGGGGTGAGGCCGACTAAGAAGGAATTTGGGGTTTCTCTAGCTAAATTTGAGGGCAAAAGAAAGGAGTGTGTCCGCTTAACTGATTGAGTCTAGCAATTATTTGTTCTATACACCGAGCCAGCATCTCACGCCCTGTATTACTGTTGGATCCCAGAGACATGACCCTGCCTTTCCCACCTTGTTTTGTATCTTCACCCACTCGAGCTAGTATGTAATGGGAATATACTGCAACAACCAAGGTTCTGTGGTAGAGGGTGGACCAGTGTAAGAGACTTTTATGATGGTGCTGGACTGTGGCCCTTTAGGTTAGGCAACGAACTGCCTGTGGCAGTGGCTTCTACTGCTGACCTGATACGCTGTAAGCTCATGGATGTAACTGGTGGCTTGGGCACTGATGAACTTAGACTGCTCTATGGCATGGCATTGGTCAGGTAAGACCTGCATGGGGTAAGAGTGGGGGTTGGCTTTGGGAACTGGAGGTGGGTAAGCATGTCTAAACAACGCTTGACTTCAGGTGCTACCTGAAACAAAAAGCCCTGGGGGTCTTTGAGTATTGATCAACCTGAAATTGTTTAACTTGACAGCTTTTCTTATACCCTGTCCACATAATCTCCTCTTTTTTCCTTTTCCAGAAAGTGTTTTCTATTTTTCTTTCCCCTCTGGAATAAGTGTGTATTGCAAGGGCAGGGGATTTCAGACCGGGCAGTCTGTGTGTGTCCAATCCAGCTTTGACAGTCTGAATTTTTTCCCTTCCATAGTAACTCCTCACACAAAGGAGTTAATATTTTGTTTGGGGGAGGGGAATGGGGGATTGTTGGGGGGGTTGGCTTTTTTGAGACAGGGTCTCACTGTCTGGCCTGGAACTCACTGTATAGATCAGGCTGACCTCAAACTCACAGAGATCTGCTTGCCTCTGCCTCCTAAATGCTGGGATTAAAGGCATGTGCCACCATGTCCTGCCTTGCTTTTTTCTGTCTTTTTTGTTTTGTTGTTATTTTGAGACAGGGTCTCACTGTATAGCCCCAGCTGGCCTGGAACTCCCTCTGTACACCTTCCTAGACTGGCCTCGATTTCACAGTGATCTGCCTGCCTCTGCCTCCTCAGCCCTGGGGATTAAATGCATGGGCCACAAGGTTGTTTTCTTTTTTGAGACAGGGTTTCACTATGTAGCCCTTGTTGACCTGCAGCTCACTATGTAACTTAGGCTAGTCTCAAACTCTCCTGGATGATCCTATTGCCTCTTTGTCCACCTCCACCTCTGCCTCGTGAATTCTGGGATTGCAGACATGTGCCACTGCACCCACTTCATAGAAACTTTAGAGAATGGTTTGTTGCCCTTGGTGTGATCTGTGATTTACTGTGAATTTTCCAACCTTATTCCCGTGTGTGTGTCTGTGTGTGTCTATGTGTGTGTATGCATATATATATATATATATATATATATATGCCTAGCACTGTCTTTTTCTCTCCCTCATGAACACAGAAGGATTGCTGAATTGTGGAAGTAAAGACATGGGCTTGGAGATTCTGATTTACAAATGAATCATAGTTCTAGCTATTTCATACATGTCGATGGGGCATTTCCCCTGCCACTGATTTTTCTCATGTGAAAACCTACTGTTCCCCTTGTCTGTCTTGATTCCTGCCCCCTTTTGTCCTTTTACTGACTCTGTCATTTATCTCTGCTTCCTGTATCTATCATCTGATGTAGTCCTTTGCTCTGGCATCTTATAATGTATTGTGTTCTCCAGTAATGTGTTAGGATTATGTATCCTAGACAAAATTTGTCAAGACCAGAGCAATGTCTTACTCATCTGTATGGCTATGGCTTCAATATAGAACAGACAGACTCAGTAAATGTTGGGATGGATGAAACTGTTCTTGCTTTGGCTGGGCTGACACCAACCAGAGGAAAAGGCTGGCCAGTCAGTAGAAGGTTGTGCAAATATAAGGTCAGTAACTTGACAAGGTATTTTGAGTAAAACAATTCTTTGAACTGTGCTTATTTTTCTCCCAACACAGGTTTGTGAATCTTATCTCAGAGAGGAAGACAAAATTTGCCAAGCTCCCCCTCAAGTACCTGGCTCAGGAGGTATGTATGACAAGATGGCATTGCTCAATCTTCTCTAGGAGGGCTTCTTAAATGGGTCATGGGGTGGGATATACAAAGACATTAGTTTATCTCATCACTGTCAGCTAAACCCAGGGAACTTCAGGGCCTCACTGTCCAGGTTTTTTAAACATATGAAATAATGGGTTTCATTGCAACATTCAAACATATATCATTATACTTTGTTCTTTTTTGCCCCCCTCTTTCACTCTCCATTCCTCCTCTTGCTTGTCTCTTTCTTCCCTCAAGTATACTTCTTTCTTGTGCTTGCATGTCACTTACATCCCGTTAACCTCTCTTGTTCCCCTTCCCCCTTCCATTAGATCTCTCCTTTCCCCCATGGCCTTCTTTCTACGTTCATGCCTGGAACACATAACACACATGTATATATTTGAATCTAGGTGCTGCATATGAGAGAAAAGTTACGATATTTGTCTTTCTGAGTCTTGCTTTTTTTGCTTTATATGATCCCCAGTTCCCTGTTTTCCTGAAGATGTCATCATTTCAGTTTTCTTTGTAGCCAAACAAAATGTCATTCTGTATATATACCGCATGTTCTTTATCCATTCATTTGCTGATAGTCTTATAGGCTCATTAAATATTGCAGCTGTTGTGAAGAGTATAGGAGTAGTAATTATGTGCAAGCATTTCTGTGGTATGCTGACTTAGAATCCATTAGATATATACCCAGGAGTGATGTAAGATAGATCACATGGAAATTGTATTTTTAGTTTTTTAGGAACCCCCATTCTGATTTCCATAGTGGCTGTGCTAGTTTACACTCACACCAGCAATGAATAAGGGTACTCTTTTTCCCTCATCCTCACCAGCATGGTTTTGTTTGGTTTTGTTTTGTTTTGCTCCTTCATGATAATAGTTCTGACTGGGGTAAGGTAGAAAAGTTTCAATTTGCAACGTCAAACACTTCAGATTTTTTAATTTTAATTTTTTCAGTTTTTATTTTGTATGTGTATGAGTGTTTTGCCTGCATGTATGTATGGACACCATGTGTGTGCAATGCCCGCAAATGCCAGAAAAGGGTATTGAATTCCCTGGAACTGGAGTTAGATACAGTTGTTAGCTGCCATGTGGGTGCTGGGAATTGAACCCTGGTCCTCTGGAAGAACAGCATGTGTTCTTAAGCGCTGAGTCATTTCTAACTCCACTTTTCAGATTTGAGTTATATAGCTGGCAGAGATTTTCTCCCATTCTCTAGGCTGTGCTATCTCTGTTCTGTTCATCAATTCCTTTGATGTGCAGAAGCTTTTAAATTTCGTGAAATCTAATTTTTGATTCTTGGGATCATTTTGTATGCTATTGGGCCTTACCAGAAAGTCTTTGACCTGAGTGAGTGTCCAGTTTTAAAGAAGGAGAATTATTCCCTTTGTAACTTACATTTCCATGGGATTGGCCAGCTCTGTTGGGAATGGCCCAGTGAAAGTGAGTAGTCTAAATGCACCACTTCATAGGGGCATTAAAGAGGGTAATAATCAAAGTGCCCGTTCTCAGAGAGCTGGCAGTCTAAGGAAAGAGAGAGCAGCAAGACAACGCCAGTTATTTTCGGCTTGAGTGAGTATGAGAATTGTGTAGCAACTTAGAGGGCAGACATGATTTGTTCTCAATCATCAAGAGAAGCTTCCTGGGGCTCCTGTGGGAAGATGGGAGGGATAAAGAGTCCCTAGGGAGAAGGAAAGGGCAGTGGGCGGCTGAAGAAGAAGGTAATTATTATGCTCATTCCCAGCAATCTCTTGAAGGAGGATGGTTGGTGATGGAGGTGGTTGCCTTTTCTGATTTTTCAAGACCACCTCCAAAGAGCAGTAAAATATAATCTGGAACCATGAATTTTAATCTTTACTATCATTAAGCCTCGAATCTTCACCGAAGAACTCAGAGGGATGGTCAGGCTGATTTATTCCCGTCTCTTCTAGCTTTAATATTTCCTAACTTCTAAACTCTTCCCCCACCTGCAATCAGATGAACATTCCAGATTGGGTTGTTGAACTTCGCCACAAGTTGACTCACAAGAAAATGCCCCATATAAATGACTGCCGAAAAGGTAAGTCCCCTGACAGGATACCTAACAGTGAAGCTCACAGACCTGGGCTGGGTGGTATTGGGGTAGAGGGACAGAGAGGAGGATCTTTACCTGGTGTTAGGGCCAGACATAGTATGAAATAGATCATGTACTCATCTTAGCCAAAAATATAAGGGGATATCAGAAGCTTACTGATAAAGATAAATAGTGTTTCCCTGTGGACAAATCCACAGATGAACGAAGTATGAAAGCTCTAATGTGGCTTGACAGTGAATGCTTCTGATCTTTTTTTAAAAAGAAAAAAAAAAACAAAAAAAGAGTTTGTGTGTGTGTGTGTACATACGTACTCCTCCTATTTGTGGGTGCCCTCAGAAGCCAGAAGAGACTTCCAGATCCTCTGAAGCTAGAATTACAGTCAGTTGTGAATCACCTGATGGAGGTGCTGGGATCTGAACTTGGGTCTTTTGGAAGAGCAGCAATTGTTCTTATCCACTGAGCCAGCTCTCCATCCCCAGTATTCTGATCCTTTTTGATACCTTAATAATACAGGTTTCCCCCTCCCCCTTCCTAAATTTTACTCTTTAAGTAGTACAGCACCCTCACTGTAGCAGATTAGAAGGAATAAGTTGAGATGTGTCACCCACAGTGTCATGAACCTAGGTATTCTTTATATATCCATCCCATTTTAATTAAAAACTCCTGGTTTAGTTTTCTCACTTGTAATGAGTAGCTAGCTGGTATATATAGCTAGGTTCCTGTTCTGCCATTTACGACCCATTGCTTTGTTTGGCACTCATTTCTAAGGCCAGCATTAGTTTTTGTTTGTTTGTTTTCTGGGAAAGATGCTAGTGAACAGGAGAAAACAAAGAATGGGGGATTACCCAAACCAAGAGGGCCTGTATATGGTTATTTGAGATTTGAGCCTTGGAGCCAAGTCTCTTCCTTAGGCTTTCCCATTATGCCCACAAGATGAGAGGCCCAGAGAGCTGGGGACCTTCTAGCTTTTTACCTTCAGTTGGTTCTATGGCGTTGCTTTCTTTTACCCCTCCTGTAGGTTGCTACTTTGTGCTAGATTGGCTCCAGAAGACCTACTGGTGCCAGCAACTGGAGAACAGCCTGAGAGATAGCTGGGAGTTGGAAGAAGACCGGGTAGAGACAGAAGAACATCAAGAAGAAAGGAATAAGAAAATGATTGTTGAGGATATCACAGAGCAGACACCAGAACCTCAGGATAATGGCAAAGGTGCTGAGTTGGGTGACAGAGTTGACGAAGACAATAAAGAAACTGAAGAGGTGGATCCTAATCTAGAAGAGACTCTAAGACATAAGGAGTTGTATGGTAAGTATGATGGGAGGAAAGAGGGGCCCATGAGCCTGGTACAGTCAGGCTTAGAGTCAGCACAGGTTATTTGCATGACTTAGTATTTCCTGTGTGCTATTGGTGAGTCCTAGGGTAAAAAAATTCCTATTGCAAACTACTTTATTGGGATAATTTCCATGGTGTAGTGGTTACTGCATTTGCTCCACATACCATCATCCTTGAGCTATGTGAAGGAATTGTAGTTCTCAATTTATAACTCAAGAAACAAGATGCAGGAGGCTCAGAATCCCAGCAGGAGCAGTTTGTGTGTTTGTGTGTGTGTGTGTGTGTGTGTGTGTGTGTGTCTGTCTGTCTGTCTGTCTGTCTGTCTGTGTGTGTGTGTTTGGGTGGGGGGGTTGGATCAGCTGCCCTATCTTTTTTCCTGTTCTGTTTTCAGAAAAAGCACGGGATTTGCTGGTATCATATGAAGAGGAGCAATTTAAGGTAAGTGCCTGTGATGTGGCATGTTCTCACCTTTGCTAGCCATTTCTTCCCTCTTGGCCAGCTACCTGAGAGAGAAATCTGAAGAAAGAATTTGAAGATGGCAAAGCATGAGGGACGTTCTGAAAGAATTTGGAAGAAAAGTGATAGAGCATGGGGGAACTTCTTTGAGTGTGGGGGTACGGGGAAATTAGGCAGGAGACAAACAGTATAATTGGATGATCCTCCATACTGATAGAAGGGAGCAAGCAAGCAAAGGAAGTTCATGGACAGTCTGCCTTCTGGGTATGGGGTACTACTGGGAATGGGCTATAGTTGTACAGCCCTATGATTCTGAACCTAACCAGCAGATGGGGCACTCATAAGCTTCCCTAGATAGGTGAACCTAAGGTGCTATTTTAATAGAAAGGCTCAGAAACCATTTAGCTCACTCTTCCTTTTCTTTTTTAAAGATTTATTTTTTGTTATATGTGTATATCTATATGTGGGTGTATGTGTAGATGCCCTCAGGCCAGAAGAGGGCATCAGGTCCCCTGGAACTGGAGTTACAGCCGTTTGTGAGGCACCCATGCAGGTGTTAGGAACCGGACTCAAATTTGCTGCAAGAGCAGTAAGTGCTCTTAAGCACTGAACCATCTCTCCAGCCCATCACGCTCCCTTTTTACAGACAGAAGACGTGGATTAGTGAGGGGACATATTGAAGGCCATGTACACTGTTAATGGTAGAACCCAGGATGAGAACCTGGGTCTCACAATTCTCTTGCTTCCATAACTTGTCGTCCCCCTTTTGCTCCTTACTCTTTGGCCAAAAGATCTCTGCTCATCTTCAAACACTCCCTTTGGCATCTCAGTATTGGAGTATCTGGTGAAGAAGGGAAGAAGTGAAGGAGGAAAAGAAAGTTGGTTATTTTTAGTTGCTGGGCCAATAAAGGAGTTGTGGGCCTACCCTTTCATGTTTTGTCCTGTCCCCTTAAAGGCAGTGCTGAGGTCCTATGGGATCCTGGAGGAATTCAGGGTGGATTGCCTGGCAGAGTCAGTCTTCTTATACGACTTTTTTTTTGCTGTCAGGTGCTGGAAAAATATAAGTATTTACCTCAGGCGATTAAGGCATGGAATAACCTGTCACCACGTGTACAGTGTATCCTGGAAAAGCTCAAGGCCATTACGTGGGAGAATAAGTGAGTCACTTTGTCACCTGTTCTTACCTGTTTACCTGTTCTTACCTGTTTACCTTACTGGTTTACCTGTTCTTTAGGGTAGAGGGTAACAGCCTTATTGGAATTTGTTTGTAGACCTGTCCTGGTGATATAGTCCTGTAATCCCAAGTATTTTGGAGTCTGAGGCAGGAAGACCAAAAAGTTCACAGCCTGGGCTACAGAATGAGTTCAGGGCCAGTCTGGGCAACTTCGTGAGACCTTGTTTCAAAATAAAAGTTAAAAAAAGAAAAAGAGCTGGAGATAGAGCTCCGTGGTTGTGTGCTTGCCTAACATACACAAGGCCCTGCCTGAGTTCAGTTCTTAGCACCAGACAAAGAGAGAGAGAAAACAGGATATTGTCCATATCCTAACTTGGCAGTTCTTTTGTAGGAAATCCTAGAGGTAATCCCCTTCCCTACATGGTAACTGTGTCTTCTGCATGATCTGCCCCCAGGCTTGCCAGCTTTCAGTTGCCTATTGTGGGTTATAGAATGACCAGAGGTAGGAATGCCCACTGCTGCCTTTTCCCTGACCATCCTTTTTCCTCTTGGTCACATGGAATGTGACAGTCTTGGCAAGTAGAAAAAGCCTGTAATCCTCCTCATTTCCTAGTTTTTGGGTACAGCTAGTGTGTTCTTTCAAACAGCACGTGAGGATGTCAGTACCTTTGGGGGTAATGGTAGTTAGGGGAACAGAAGAAAGGCCTCAGGGTATGGCTGCTGGAGGCTAAGTTCCTTTTATCTCAGTATGGCTGTGTGCCATCCTCCTCCACAAATAGTGCTCAGTTCAACAAGAGTAGGCAAAAACATTGCTCTTCTGCCTAAATTTACCTGGAGGATGTTGCAGAACTTGCTACCAAGAACCTGTGGAGGCAGGCTGGGGTTGTAGTTCAGTGGTAGAGTACTTGCCTGCTGTGCCTAAGGCCCTGAGTTTGATTGCCAATGTCATGAAGGAAAGAAAAGACAAATCAAAAAACCTGTGGAGGCAATGCTGGCCCTTACAGCAAAGGAATGTTGAAAGGAATCTGAGATGGAGAGCTGGAAGGAATCAGTACTGGATTTAGAGTTGGAACCCTGCCATGTAGGCTGGGATTTGTCTTCTCTCATTCCCAGACTACTAGTTCCAAAAGCATTCTATCAGAGTTTGCTTGTCCTAGGCTTCTTTATTTTTAGATTTTTTTCATTTTATTTATATTTTTATGTGTGTTTTACATGCATATGTGTAAGTACATCAAATGCATGTGATGCCTGTGGAAGCCAGAAGAGGGTACCCTGGAACTGGAATTATGGGCAGTTGTGAGCTGCCGTGTGGGTGCTGGAAATGAAACCCAAGTCCTCTCCAAGAGTAGCCAGTGCTCTTAATCACTGAGCCATCTCTCTAGCCCTCAATTCCAGGCTTCTTAGCTCTGCTCTTCATCAAAGGCTGGATGTAGCTTCCCCAGCAGCTGGGCAAAACTCATTTTGTGCTCTGTACAGTAGTGTCTGCCTTTTTGTGCTGAGCAGGTAGCTGACAGACTGCTTTAAATTCTTGATTTCTTACCTGAGGAGATGAGGCATGGGCGGAATAACAACTATTTTCTCTTGAAGGATCTGATTGTCTTGTCAGTCCTCGAAGCAGTGCAACATCTCAGAAGCTCTTTTCCTCCTGTGAGGCCTAGCCAATTAGGAGAAGGTCTTGGTAGACTGTTAGCTGTGGAAGAATTGGCTGTTGCTAGTTTAAGTTTGACTTAGATGCAGTTGAGAAATCATCCCTATTGCAAATGTTTTCAACTTTGATCTAGGTTCCTGGGTCCCTAGTAAGAAGGCCTAGAAATTGAGTCCCTAAGGTTTCTACTTCTAGGATCTAAAAGAATATAGCCAGGGAAATGAGATTGCATAGAGGATAAGAATTGGTGAGAGAAACAAAATAATTGTAGGAACTAAAGTCTAAAAGCCTGTGATCATGATCTTAAGCATTTCATTTTTTTCTGTTAGCCTAAGATGTCTCTTCATTTCAGTTTTGAGGATTATTCCACCACCACTGCTCTCATTGTGGGCCTTAGATCCCTACTATGTGCTTGGTAAATGAATGTTCAAAGCCCACTGATACTAGATTGCGGCCCAGCCTCTGTCCCAGGAAACTGAAGCCTGGTATCCACTGTCACCTTTTCAGTGTCCCTCCATGATGTTTGAACCAAGAAACATTAGCTATGTTGACAGTGTTGGGGGGATAGTTGAGAGTCTCCTGCCCGCTTCTGCTTCAGTTTGCCATCTGCAATCTAGTTTCCTTTCTTGTTTTTCTTTTCTTTTTCTTTCTTTTTTCTGGTGCTGGGAATCAAACCCAGGGCTTTACACATGCTAGGTAAGTGTTGTGCCATTGAGCCACAGCCACGTTGCAGCCTCTTAAGTCATTTTGACTTTAAATAACCAGAGGACCAATCTAGGATATTTACTCCATATTTGGAAATGTCCGTCCCCCCTTTTCGAGACTGAGTCTTGCTATATTGCCCAGGGTAGTCTTGAACTTAGTTATGTTCCTGCTTCAGCCTCTTGAGTAGCTGGAACTGTAGGCATGCACCGCTATGTCCAGCTAAACTAGGTTCCTTTTACTTCAGGGATGCTGTGCTGGATGCTTTTCTAGATGACGGTTTTCTTATTCCCACGTTCGAGCAGTTGGCAGCTTTACAGATAGAGTATGAAGGTAGGGTTGTGGGGGTTCACTGCAACCTCAGAGTTCTGTGTTTCTTGTGTGGGAACAGCAGGGGTTGGTTGTGCTGGAGTGGGGTTGAGTGGGTTTGAAGCCTCTGTCCTAGATGAACAGAACAGGTAGCCCTGCTGATGTGCAGTTGTGGAGCTGTCCTTAGGTGAATGAAAATTGGTTATGGTGGGTCGGGGTGGGTAGATTGGGGGTTTCTTAACGCTGTTGTTGTGCCTTATTAATTATGATTTAGCCACTAGCTAGAGAGCTAGAATAGCAGCATTGGAAGGGCATTTTGAAATCATCTAGTTCAACATCCTCATGTTTCAGATGTTCATACTGAGGTCCAGAATGGGGAAGGTACTGATCCAAAATCACACAGTGAGTTATTTATTTATAAAGTTGAAGTCAGAACCAGAGCTTTATTTTGCATCAGTTGTTGTTTACCAGATAGTAATTGGCTTCTCTTTCCCCACTGTTCTTCTTTCCTTTTGTTTTATTCTGTGACTGCAACTCTTGTTGTTGGGACTTGGGTATGTCTGTGTTCACTCTCTCCCTCTCTCTGCCTCCCCCCGCCTCTCTGGTGTACATGTTGTCTTTTTTCTCATGATTCCCTGCTTGCTTTGGTGCTCTCTTGTTCTCTTGCTCTTCATCCCACTGCCTTTCCCCTTTGTCAATGGGTGTCCCTTGCAAACCAGAAAATGTGGACTTTCATGACTTCTTGGTGCCAAAGCCGTTCTCTCAGTTCTGGCAGCCCCTGCTCAGAGGCCTGCACTCCCAGAACTTCACACAGGCCCTACTGGAGAGGATGTTCTCTGAGCTGCCGGCCTTGGGGGACACTGGAATCCGGCCTACCTACATCCTTAGATGGACAGTTGAACTGATCGTGGCCAATACCAAGACTGGTGAGGAAAACTAGCCCTAGCCCTGAGCCCCAAGGCAACCAGGCAGCAGCATCCCCCAGTGTCCTCAACTCTTTCCTTAAAGCTCCACCAAGCAGAAAGCTCTCCTGTTAAATTTAGATTTGCTCAAGAGAGTCCTACAGGAAACGGTAGACAAATCTCCCTCTTCCTTTTTCTTCTCAAACCCAACCAAACTGGGCCAGCATAAAGTGCTTTGAGTAGTTGGGAGATGGGGGTGGGAGTTTTAGGGGGATGAAGAGGGGTTGGGCCAAGTTTTTTGAGATCAAAGGTTAGGTAGAGAACTCACATGACTCCTTCAGGCCCTTTCTTTTCTTTCAGGACGGAATGCTCGTCGGTTTTCTGCAAGCCAGTGGGAAGCAAGAAAGAATTGGAGACTGTTTAACTGCTCTACCACCCTTGACTGGCCCCAAATGGTTGAGTCCTGCTTGGGCTCACCTTGCTGGGTCAGCTCCCAGCTCCTTCAGCTGTAAGTCTTTTGAATTCCATCCGGTAAGATGGTAAGGCCTCACTGCCGCACAGCATTAGACTGGCTGAATTGGAAGGCCCTTGTGGTGATATCTAACCCAGTGTCCCTCCAAGGGACAGATGAAGGAACTGAGTCCAGAGAGGGGAGGGATAGGGTATTCCTACCTATGATCATTCAGCTTAAGACTTGGCTAAACTGAGTATAGGGTAAGAATGCTTAGCATAATGGCCTGCACAGAGTAAGTGCACAATAAATGGTAGCTGGTGTTTATTTATAAACCCAGGTCTTCTGGCTCTAAGCCTAGTGCTGTCTGTTTATTTGCTTCCCAGAGTATACAATAGTTGCCCAACAATCTTCAGTGACTCCCTAGTGCCTTCATGGCAAAAATGAAGATGTAATCTGACATTCGATGATCTTTATGATTCTGGACCTTCCGATCATGCTAACCATATCTCTTGTGAGTCCCCTTTACTTAGTCTCTCTAGGTTGTGTGGTCAATTGGAATGTTGTTCTGATTCCTGTAAATATTCATGGTTGTCTCCTTTTCTCTGTCATTTTCTGATCCTTCCCTCATTCTCATGGAAGCCTTCAGTACCTGATTCTCTTCCTGCTTTCTGGAGCAATATTTGTTTTCTTTGTGTGACCCATTTGATATTGCATTTCTTAACTCCAGAGATTTTTTTAAAATTCTCCATTGCACATAGCAACTTATTTCCATAACTCGCTTTCCATTTCTGAAAACTGACATCCCAGTATCCTACTTGGTGACCACCACTTCTTGTCCTTTTGTTTCTCACCCTCCGATCCCATGACACTGCACTTTACCTATGTTCTGACCTCCATCCCTCCATTTCCTTCCTTCCCTCTCCCTTGGTTCCTCCCAGTCTTATTTATGGTTGATCATTTCACTCATCCTTAGCATGCTGTGCTCTGCTAATCCTTTGGCAGTATCTGACTTCCCAATAATCCTGTCCCCATACCTCAGCCTGGGTAGCTGAGCTCACCCAGGGGGAAAAAAAAAAAAACATGAAACCTCACAGCACTTGCATTGCTACCACTGTAGCTATGATTCGTAATTTTATGCTACCTCGGTTCTGTTTGTCTGAAATCTTACTTGTTTGCTGACCACTATGCCTCTGGTCCTTGACTAGTCTAAACCCTTCCCATTTACCTCAAGCCCCTCTTGCTCTCTGATTTCACCCTAGCTTCCTCCAGCATGTGAAGGAATATACCAGATCTCCTTCAGCTTGAGGTCAAGCCCTCCTGCCTTGGTCTGTGGCTTCAGTCAACCTTATAGTTATAAGATGAAGTGGCCTTGTGCTACCTAAAATCCTGTTCCTCCTCCTGTGTTCTAGAGCCACTTCTACCAGCGTTACTGGGGCTCACCTCATTTTCTCCCTTGCTCTGCTGGCTCTTGCTCTTTAACTTCTGAACGTGCCTGAGCTTTTCTCATCTTAAAACAGCAATAAGAGCACAGGCAAAATCTGCATTGACACTCTACTTTCATTGGTTTACCACCAGCTTGGCATGTTTTCTTCTCTCATCTCCAATGAGTGGTCTTCACTCAACGTCTTGATTTTCTCACTGCTCTTTTCTTTCCAACCTGCTGCAGCTTGGTGCTCATCCCCAGAACTGTCTTGACCAAATTACCAAACCCAGGGTCCCTTGTCAGTCTCTGTGTCTGCTGTATTAATGCTGGTTGCTAAACCCTCCTAGAAATGCCAGTTCTTATTTCTAGTTCATATAAATTACTTGGCCCAAATCTCCTTAGCCCAGTCATTTCCTCTACAATTCAGTTCAACTGCATTGTTGTATATCTACGTTTGGATGGTTCATAGGCCATCCAACTCTTAGAGTGATCTTCCTTCCCTGTTCCAGATCTTACTTGATGGTGGCACAGTCTACCCTGTCCTGTTGACTCCCAAATATTTTCCAGATTTGAGATTTGTGTTGCCATGTCTACTCCCCCAGTGTTTCCTTCCCTGTACTAAACTTTTCAAAGGCAAGAGCTCTGCTTTAGCTATCTGTACCCCAGCACATTGCATAGATCCAGGCATGGAGCAAGACTTAGTAAATGTCATTGAACTGAAGGAAATATTCTCTATTTCCATGCCAGCAGTGCTGGCCTTGGTAGAAAATGATTCAATGCCTGAGGAATAATGAAGTGGAAGACTGATCGCCAAGACCTTCTTAGTTTCCTGATCCCTCTTTTTGCTCCGAAAGTCTTTCTTGAACCCTTAGTTAGCATCTGGGCCACAGTAGTATTTGTAAAATTAAAAATGTGGCCTTAAGACAAATTTAGCCAAGGTAAGAGTTCCAGGAGATGGGGCTAAACCATATAGCCACATTGCCAGATGTTGGAGCTCTAGGCTAGAAGTAACATGAATGGGTAGGAAACTGGGAAGTGAACTAGAAGGGTCTTCAGGAGTCAGGTCAGAACATCAGAGGAGAAGCATTTGAGCATTTCAAGCAGGGAAAAACCAAGGAAGTTTGAGAGTGTAAAAGGAATGAAAGATATGTATGTATGCGGGGGAGGGAGTGAAAAGAGCAGCATGGAGAGATTTGACTAGATGGCCTTCAAGGTACTTTCCAATCCTGAGTGCCTACAGAGTGGAAGCTGCTGGTCTTGGAGAAGTCTGGACCGCAGAGACCTTCTCCCAACCCAAGCGTATCAGAGGGATGCGACACATGCCAGCAGTAACAGCGGCTCACTTGGGTACGATTCCTTGTGCACAGATCCTGCCATTCTCAGATTATCAATGAATTTAGATCTAATCACCCATTACACGGAGTGGGAAATAAAGGGGTTGTGCCCAGATATGCTGCAAGTCAGCTAGGGCCCAAATCCATAAAGCCTGTCCTTAGGTCTGGGGTCTCCCAGGACGTTCCACTATATTGTACCATGGCAGAAAGCATCTGTTATTAGGTGAATACAGAACACAGTTTTTGTTTCTCCCAGAGAAAACAAAGAAGGATACCACTGGTAATTAAGTATCAGGGATAATACTTTTTTAAGAAGTTATTTCATTTAATTTGACTCTGCAGCCTTGGGAGGCAGCAATATGTTACCTTTTGACAGATAATGCATTAGGGACTGAGGAATGAAGTACCTGACCCAAATCACGTGGATTGTTGGTAATGGGACAGGACTCTGGGCATGGGTCCTTTGCATCTAAAGTGCAACTTCTGTCCACCAGCTCAGTCCCAAGACCTCATTCCCAAGCTGTGAGCAGACATACTCAGGAAGGAGGTGCCTCTTACGCTTCCTAGTGCCATAACACCATAACAGGCAGCCTAGACAGTGGGGGACAGTGGGTGGGTAATGAGTAGCAGCAACAAGACATTCCTCCATCACCAAGTGCCTGGGAATATTTATTATTAATCACGCTAATGGACCACAGTGAGAGGGTAGAGTTTCTTCCCGGCTTTTCCTCTAATGAAGTTATAAGCTCTTCAGAAGCTTCCCCTAGCCAGGCAATTTCTATTCAATTTCAGGAGTGTCTTCTTGGAATATGAAATGAGTCCTGCCAACAGGGTCTCCTAGTCTAGTCAGTAGACCAGAGTGTTGCTCCCAAGGACCAGTAGCCAGGCATATGTGACCAGTCTGCATGCTCTGCATGTGCTCCTTCCGCAAACCATGCATAGTTCATACTCGGCATGCCTAGAAGGATGTGCCCCATCCCTCCACCCTGCTGTGTGTCCTGCACGGCCAGCTACCTATTAGGGGCTAGGGTCTGTGAGCTGTGCTCGCCCCCATCCTCCCCAGTAGCTCGGTATCTATTAGTGGTTTTGCTGTTAGCGCCGTCTGTTGTGTGCACAGTGTCATCATGTTTAATTCTCTGCTCAACCCTTTCTGTTGGTCACCAAGCCCTGCTCTTTGTCTGTCTGTCCTTCACAGCTTCGCCCCTCCCATCTCGACCATCGGTACCCTGGGTCTGCCCTTACCAACTGTTTTGAATTGTGAAAATAGGTGCCACCCTGGTCTTCCTGCCTCCAGGCCTCCCAGCCCAGGTCATATGCCACATGGCCATCCTCTGTGTGGTTACCACGGTGATCTTCAGAAATGGTGGTTTTTAATCTGTCCTCAGAGTTGGCAAGTGGCCTGCCCTACAACACACACACACACACACACACACACACACACACACACATACACACACACACACACACACACACATCCCTTCCCAGCTTTCTTTTCTTCCCATAGCTCCCCAGCACAGGCCTTGTCCTTCAGCCAGGCTGCGCTCACCACATGGTTACGGTATGTTCACTCTTGTGCCCGGTCCTCCTGGGCCTCACCTACATGAAGCCCTCTCCCAGTCTCCGCTCCCTCCTGGTGCTCTTTTCCTCTCCCCAGCTCCTGTAGGGTCCACAATCAGTCCACAGCGCTCATTGGGCTCCCTTCCACATTCTGCTGTGTCTTGTCAACTGCTGCTTTTTCCTTTCTTTCCCTCCATTCCAGGCTGGACTGTAAGTGCTCCCGTAAAGAATCATACATTGTGTTCCATGCAGAAGAAGCCCAGCACATTCGCTGGCATAACCTTGGATCTCAGGACAGATCCCTCAGCTAGGCCCCAGGGAGAGGATATTCTACCATTCTGATTTCTAGTCCTGCAAGCCTAGTTTGTTTATGTAGTGTTTCAGTGCAGACTAATAGCTATCATTTATTGCCTGCCCACTATGTGCCAGGCACTGTGCCAGGTATTCTGTGTGAGCTTTTTTAATTTTCTCATTCCGCGAACTCTAGAAATTAGATTCCATTATTGTCCTCTTTAATGAGAATAGAAAGGAGGCATAGAGATGTTTGAGAGAGCTAGTTCAGAATCCATGGTCCTGTTGGGTTTTGCATGCTGTCTGTTCTGCTGTGCTGCCTTTCAGAGGCAGATGTGGAATCTGAGAACAAGTCTAAACCCTAGAGTATTGGGCTACGAAGTGACTTGAGATTTTGACCTTTTCCTACTCCATCCTTCCTTTTGCTCAGACTCTTCAAAGCCATGGGACAGGTCTTGCCAGATGGAGAGCAGGAGAAGCTGCTGCGCATCTGTTCCATTTATACTCAGAATGGAGAGAATTCAATGGCAAAGACAAGCTCAGGGTCCCCTCCCACTGGGAAATGTCCATACACATTGGACACTATGCATCAGGACATAAGACCATTCAGTGCTAATGGTGAATCTGATGAAAAGGTTCAACAGAAGGAACAAGACAGCCTTAATGAAGTCAAGGAAGAGGAAGAGCAAAAGGACTTAGACGACCCGATGGAGGAAGACGAAATGGAAGAAGAAAGTGATGACCTAGAAGATGAAGAAGATGAGGAAGATGAAGAAGGTGATGAAGAAGATGAAGATGATGAGGACGATGAGGAAGATGATGAAGATGATGAAGATGATGAAGATGATGACAGAATGGGGGTGGGGCCTTTCACTACCATGCAGGAGACCCACACTTTTGAGAATGCTAGGCTCCTGACCCAGAAAAGAGAAGCTTTGCAAGGTTCATTATGGCAGTTAAACTCTGGTAAGGAGCCCTGTGCACTATGCTCCCACTTCTTTGTCTTCCCTCACTGATTTTTTTTCCCCTCTCTTATTTTTTTATTTTTTTTTTGTGTGTGTGTGGGGAGGTGGAGATTGAGTCTCATAATGTAACCTTAAAACTTGAGATTCTCTCTCTGATTCTCTGGCCTTAGCCTTCTGAGTGTTGGAATCGTGGGCATGCCTCACCATGCCTACCTTCAACCACTTTTGTGATAAAGGTCTCACTATGTTGTGTAGTCTACTGTTGAGCTTATGGATTCAAATGATCTTTCCACTTCAGCCTTCTGAGTAGCTGGGATTATGGATGCATACCATTATGCTCTGATAGCTGGCTCTTGGGGCTTCCCTTCACCCTAGACAATAGATGTGAAAATAGGAACAGGTAAATAGTCTATAAGCCAGGTACATGGATGACAGGTGGCTTCACTCTTAGGATAGAGAATGTAAGCATCAGGAGCCACTCACTGTCAGACTGCAGGCTGTTTTGATGTGACACATTCACAGGAGTGGCCTAAGTCTGAGCCCCTATGTAGTTAACAGCAAAAGAAAGATCAAAGGTATATGTGCATTAGATTCTGCACATGCTTTCATGTGCAGTAAAAGTGCTTTTTGTGTGTACATGGAGGCTGACTGGTGGTAAGACAGGATTTTGCTATATGTATTAAAAAGAAGGAACCCAGGGCATTAAGTCAGAGAAACTTGAAGAACTGAAGAGAATATAGACTGCTGTGGATTTTAGGTATTCATCTAAGTTTGTGAGATTGAAGCCCAGAAGGGATACAGGGAGATTTGGTAATGGAAAGTGGGGAGCATGAATCTGCTCCTCTGATGGTAGACTTTTGAGTGCCTGCCTTTACGTTGAGGAGCAGAAGTCTCAAGGCAGCCAGACCCAGAAGGAGAAGCAGAACAGTCTACTTTGGGGTGGGGCATGTGTGTGCATATGTACATGACAGGTAGGGACATTGCTTGTGTCCTGAAGTCTGGAAGAGGGGAACACAACAGCTGGGCCTGGTGGACAGCAATATAGAATCAGAAGAGTCTTTAAAGGAACTCATGGGAGAATATAATATTTGCCCTAATGAGGAGAGGTATGGAAGAGCTAGTCCATGAAACCCTTGAGTGGGAGTGCTAGGGGTTAGTGAACACATTTGTGTGTGTGTGTGTGTGAGAGAGAGAGACAGGGAGACAGAGAGAGACAGATTAATCCTGGCGTAGTGACAGAAAAATCTCTTGGCTGAAGATGAGGGTCTTTGGAACTAGCAAGTGGGAGAATTGGCAAGGGGGAGATGTGGGTATAAGAAAAAAATAGGTGCACTGAAAAACTCTCAAGGAGGCTATAGTGTAGCTATATGAACATGCATGGTTATGTATGTTTTCTGAAGAGGAGACTGCATCATTAAGATTCATGAGGGCCAGGAGGTTCCTGTATGAAGGGGAAAGTAGCAACAATGAGAGATGGGAGCCCGTGGAGGGGTGTGTGACTAGGCCATGAGACAGACATTTAGAGGGGCCTGTGTGGCTATGGTGTCACCGAGGGGACTTGGACAAGGATTTCAAGCTAAAGAGACATGGGAGTGATATAGACAGGTTTGGGAATATTAATGACAAGGGCATGATCAATTTAGAACCAAATATAACCTGTGGGCATGACTCTGTCTCTCTCTCTCTCTCTCTGTGTATGTACAGTTCTGGGAATCAAACCCTGGACCTCAGCAGCCAGCCCATCTTTTTTTTTTTTAATTGACTTACAATTTTGTGTATTTATGAGACATAGTGTGATAATTTGATACATAATAAACAACATGGAAGCAACCCTTCTTGAGGGGTTTCTATAGTTTTCATGAAAAAAGGTTGATAAATCATACAGTGCCAGGGCATTATGACAGAATTATGGTTTATCCTAACATGGAGTGTCTTCGTGTATATACGTTGTAGGAAGGTTATGGATTGTGAGCTAGGAAAGGCTGTATGGTAAGTCCTTCCATCTTCCCACCTTGCTCTCACTCCTCTTTCTCTTTGTGTACACATATGTGAAGAAATAGGGACATTTAAGGTTTCTGGGGTTTGTATCTATAAATGAGGTTTGTCAGAGGCAAGGGGTGGGATACGAGACATTCACTGGTTGGAGGTATATGTGCTTCTTTGTATATACTTTCAAGGTGTGGGATATGTGGAATTCCTTTTGCTTGGAGAAAGAATATTCCTCTCTGCACATGAGAAGTGGTTTGCAGTGAAGATATGCCAGGGATATGCAGAGCACCCATGCCAAATGGGCTAAGAGGGCTGGGTAGATAGATAAGGTAGATCAACTTGTGTACCCAGTAAGAGAACCAGCTCATCAGCCCACTCTTTTTTTTTCCCTGTAAATATTTTTGTTCTACTGATACTTTTTAATGAACTTTTAAAAAGTTTTTATGAACGTATTTATTATATGTTGAGCATATTCCCCCTCATTCCTCCCTATCCTCATTTCTTATCCCTCATTCTCCCATTAGTTCCCTTTGTTCTCCTACATAGACTAACTTCTGCTTTCATGTTATGTATATGATATCTGGATAGAAAACATAGGATATTTATCTTTGAGATTGTCTTAATTCACTTGATTTGATTGTCTATAGGTGCATCTATTTTCTTGCAATCAACACAAATTCTTTTTTTAAAAATGTTTTATTTTTATTTTACATGTACGAGTGTGATGTCTGCATATATGTAAGTGCACCCATGTCGTGCAGTGCCCATGTAGGTCAGAAGAGGGAGTCGGATTACTTTATGGCTGAAAACATTTCCATTTTCTCTCTGTCTCCGTCTGTCTATGTGTATCTCTCTCTCTCTTTCTCTCTCTCTCTCTCTCTCTCTCTCTCTCTCTCTCTCTCTCTCCTCATACACACACACACATACACACACACACACATATGTATATATCACATTTTCATTATCTGTTTAACCTAGGTTTGTTCCATAGTTTAGCTACTGTGTATTGTGCATTGATGTGCAAGTATCTCTGTGATATGTAGAGTTGAAGTCTTTTGTGTAAATATGTAAGACTGATATACTTGGGTAAGATGTAGATCTTTATGTGGATCTTTTTCTTTTTTTCTTTTTTGGTCCTTTGATCTTGACTCCCACAGTGGCTATACTTTACATTCCCCACCAGCAGTATATGAGCGTTCCCTTTTGTTCATATCCTCAATAGCATTTATTGTTACTTGTTTTCTTAGTGACTTCCTTTTTGAGGTAAGATGAAATCTCAATGTAATTTTGATTTTCGTGAGCTGACTTTTGCCTCCTCTTTTTGTTCTACAGAAGATGTACGATGGGGCACATTCCCTGTAGGCCGAGTGCCAGGTCAGACTGAGGACCCAGCAGAGCTTATGCTGGAGAATTATGATACCATGTATCTTTTGGACCAACCTGTGCTAGAGCAACGGCTAGAACCTTCAACATGTAAGAAAGGGTGAGTAGCTATGGCAGCAAGATTTTTCACCCCCTTTGTTTGGTACCTGTGGGTTGCAGAGAAGGCAAGGTGGGGTGAATGAGTCAATCGAGCCCTTGCTAGGACTCCTTGCCCCTAGTACAGGGAACAGGTGACAGATGACTTGGTACCCCTTCGAGATTGAGTCCAGTTTGTATGTGTGCATGTGTGTATATGTGTGTGCGTTCATTTGGGAGGAGAAAGGAGGCAAATTCTTTAAACACTCTACCATTCCCAAAAGGTCAAGAACAGACACTCTAATCCAGCTTCCTTCTGTTCTTGAAGCTCAGAAAGAGAAAGAGATTTGTTGTTCAAAGGTACACAGAATAACCAGCAGACCTCCCTGCACTGTCCAGGCATCCTGGTAACAAGGTCTGCACGGGGCTCTGTGTTTTTCTGAAACTTGCCTTTGGATCACAGGCATGAAAGCCTTTGCGTCATCAGAGAGCCAGGAACCAAGTAGCCCTTGCTGAAGGGCTTTGCCCAAAGGAGCCCATCCTGAGGGCCTGTACATTCTAGAACGCTGGGCCATTGTGTCCAGGAGAATCCTGTGAGTGCCAGATAAAGACCCTCTGTGGGCCCTTGAACTTGAGAGTCTGCTTGCTTACTCCCTAGGACATGACTCAAACTCTCTTTCATCTGGACATTCTGGGAGAGGGCTGTAGAATCCAAGGGCTTCAGAAGCAGGTGAAGAAGACAGGAGGTAGTTGGGGAAGCAAATTGGAAGTGGGATTACATTATGAGAGGTCACTTCTCATAGCACCAATGAATCTGGCCTTGGGAAAGGATGGCGCAATGATCTCCAAGTTATCAAGGGGGGAGTGTGGGCTAGTAAAACTGTTAAGAAGGAAACTGACTTGGCCTAGCTTGTATCCCTCTTCCATTCATAGGAAGGCTTTCTCTGTTAGTACAGGGCGTGTTCGCCTCTGCTTATTTCCTCAACTCCACGCTTGACTTGGTTATGTGACCTTGGACAAGCCCTTTCTTAATTTTAGACCTCAGTTTACCTCAGTAAAGTTATAATTGATGGGAAGGGAAGGATAGCACTAGCATCTCCAAGGGTTTTTCAGCTTGAGTGAAGGATGATGATTTGACTTTTTGCTGTTACTTTAGCTTAGAAAGACCTTTGACCTGCAGGAAGCATGGGAAGCAAGAGTGTTCTTGAACTAGGCCAGGGAAAAGTGAGGGCAATTGTCTCCCTCAAGCAGTCTTTTAAAAAATATTTTATTATTTTTATTTTGTGTGTATGGGTGTTATGCCTGAATGTATGTAAGTGCACCCATGTCATGCAGTGCCCATGGAGGACAGAAGATGTGTCAGATCCCCTGGAACTGGAGTTATGGACAGTTGTTACCCTCCATGTTCGTGCTGGGATTTGAACGTAGGTAGCCAGTGCTCTTAAGCACTGAGCTATGTCTCCAGCCCCCTCCCTCAAGCAGCCTTAATATTATAGGATAGAACTAGGCCAGATTATCTCTATAACCCAAGCCTCATCTTGAGCCTCTTCTCTACAAAGACAAGCGGGAGGTTGGGCCCTTCCCACAGCACACACAAATCAAGTCCGCTTAGCTCCTCCAGACTTTAAAGCTGTCTTTTTCCCCTCTGCAGCACTCTGGGCCAAAGTTGTGGAAGCATTGGCAATTGCAACAACAGCAGCAGCAACTTGGGGGGCCTTCTCTGGAACCAAGGACAGCTTCATGGGCTCAAGGCTGGCCTGGAGCTCTTCTGATATGGCTGTCCTGATACAAGTGTCCACTCAGACAAGCCAGTGTTAACAGTGCTGTCTGTGCTGTATCAAATACTCCATGATGCAGTGTGGGAGATCCCAGATCCACCACATCAGTTCAACTTTTCACAATAGTGGAAGTTTGGAATGGTGGGGGATTTTTTTCCTTTTTTGTTTTGTTTTGAAAAACAATAAAGAGAATTTTGTCATGGTCTTTGTGAGATGAGGGGTGTGTGATTCTAGAGACTGCAGGTTGATAACAAGGCTTTTGAGTAGGAGCTGGATCCTTAAGCCACTTGAGTATACCAGTTCTAATTGCTCCCCTCGTCAGACTGCAGGTATACCTTCTACCAGGCACCTCAAACCATTTCTGTATCTCTAAACTGTAATGCGGGATAAGCCTACGAGGAAGCTTCAGGGCCCAGAGGAGAGGCATAGCTGACCACAGAGCACAGAAAGCATTCAGGTATAGGCATGTTTGTATGGGGGTGTACAGAGACCAGGGAGTGGGAAGAGGACCCAGGTTTTCCTGGTTAGCTCGTCACCCTTAGTGGGTAACAGGAACTGAAAGCTGGAAATAAGCCTTACTTTGTTACTTCTCTGTTTTTTGACCTGGAAAAGATAGAGTGTGCCCCTGTAGTGGGCATTGGAGCCATAAGAAATGTCTTAGGGACTGACCCTCAGCCCTTTTCTAACTTCACCCAGTCCTCTCAGTCATCTTTCCTCAAAGTGCCTACTCTATGTCAGTCCTTAGCTGCCAAGAGATTCAAGTCAAACCTTCATTCAGCCTGCTGAGGAAGGGCAGTTACTGTTGAGGTTTGAATGAGATATGTCCTCCATAGGCTCAGGTATTTGAACACTTCGTCCCCAGCTGGTGGCGCTGTTTGGGAGATTATGGACTCTTTCAGAGGTGTAGCCTTGTCTGAAGTGTGTCTGGGAGCAGGATTTGCTATTTCACAGTCTTGCCCTACTTCTAGTTTGCCCACTCTGTGCCTTGTGGTTGAAGATGTGAGCTCTCCTCAGCTTCCTGCTTTCCTCCATGTCTACTGCTTGCTGCCATGCCTCCCTGCTGTGATGGACTCTTACCCTCTGGAACCATAAGCCCAAATAAACGTTCTTCCATAAGTCGCTTTTGGTCATGGTATTTATGAAAGCAGCAAAAAGTAACTAATACACTATGTCAAAAATAAATATTAAAAAGATTCCCAACAGTGATGGATTCATCCCTCTGGAACTGTAAACCCAAATAAATTCCTTCTAGAAGTTTTTGCTCATGGTATTTTATCACAGCTATAGAAAAGTAACATATAGTTACTGAAGCGTGTGCTAAGTTGTCTTCAAGGAATTTTTGTAAGTGGCTGTAACCGAGTAATGGTGAAGACTTAGGAAAATGCCAAAGAGGAATTCAGCATAAATGCTGTGTCAGAACCCAGTCAAGGTGTCCTGTGCCCTCCACTCCAAGTTCACAGACCCTTAAGAGTTCTAACTTGTGTTAGGATCTCTAGGGATTCTGGAACATCTGAAAGGATACACATGTCTGAGCCTGGTGTGTATATTTCTTTTGAAAGGTTCATTTTTCTGCTAGAAAAGGGTTTGGAAATCATAGTTCTTGTTTAGCGCCCTCCCCCCATTTTTAAATTTTAATTATTTTGAAAATTTTCTGAGATTCTCTTATGTAGTCCCCTTATCTATCCCATCTCATTGTCAGTGCATAGATTTGCTGAGCCAGACGAGTGATTTATCTATGGTCATAGAGCAGTTATTAGGTTGGTGTAGATTAGTGTTTTCTTGAACATCAGCATCACCTGGGTTCTTGTTAGGAATGTAAATTGTTATACTGTTGCTCACCTCCTAAATCAAAGCTTAAAGAATATGCCATGATCTATGGTTTTGACAGACCCTTGCTGGGATTCTAATGCACATTAAAATTTGAAATGCCCTGGTAGACAGGAAAAAGTTCTTCAAAGACATGACTTCCAGACAAGCCCATTACTTAATTTGAGCAACCTTTGGCAAATCATGCCAAATTCTTAAACTGAAGGATGTGTGCCTAGAGACTTTGTAAGGATCATAACCGTAGATTGGGAAGTGCTCTTCAGGGGTGAGAATTGCATGGTGGATGAGAATGCTTGCTGTGCAAGCATGAGGACCTGAGTCAAAATTCCCAGCACCTGGGTAAAAAGCCAAGCACGGCTTTGCATGCCTGTAACCTTAGCACTGGGGACAGAGTGTGTGAATCCCAGGAGATTTCTGAGTACTCAGCTTACACAAGCTGAGCTTTCAGTTCATTGAGAATCTGATTCAAGGCAATAAAGTGGAGCTATAAAGCAGAAATAAAGCTATAAAGGAGGTCCTCTGGCCGCCACATGTGCGCAAACAGGTGTATGCACTCACGCACATGCATGCACTACATGCACAGACATACTTTGCACACACACATACACAAGAACGTACTTTTCAAAGCATATTGTGTGTCATATATGTGGTGGCTATACAGAAAACCTGCCTTAAAAAAAAAAAGGACAGGGAAATTAATTATTTTCCCAAACACACCTGTAATTCCGGCACTTGGCAGGCAAACACTGGAGAACTGAGAGGTCAAGGCCAGTCTGGGGTACATAGGCAGACCCTGTCTCAACAACAAACCAAGGACTGAGGATGTCATTCAATGGTAGAAGGCATGCCTAGCATTTGCGAGACCTTAGGTTTGGTTCATAGAACCATATGAAACAAACACACAAAAAATTAAGAGGGCTTTGGTAAAATTCAGGTCAACTCTTGGCAGTAGGGATCTTTGTCCTATTGCTTATCAAATAATGATTATAAGTTGCACGGACATAAATTTAATATTTTAGGAACAAATTTCTTTGTGTCTGTATGCAAATGAACTTTTCTTCTTGATTCTTAAAGAACGAGCCACTAGTGGTTAGTAGGCAAATAATTTATGCAATAAATTTGTTTACAGTTCATTGTCAACAACACAGCATTTTCCATCACAATTATAGGTGAAACAAAACATCAGGAAGAAGTCATTAATACATCCATGCTACTGAGACTATTATATAAAGCACTGCACATGCATTATAGGGCCAGACAAAACTGGGTAGGGGCTGTATTTTCACTCGCCTCATGTGACTGTGTATTTTGTCATTAAGACTTACATTATGTTTGGGTCAAACAAGAAACCCAAAGTGGTTTTATAAAAAGTTTACAACCATTAAACAGTACTGTTTAATCCCACAAATGGATAAAGCAAATTACTATAGCTCAATGATACACAAACCAGGACTAAAAATAGTCAATCTGCCTATGTGTATAGCTAGCTATAATACAGTAGATATCAAATATGCTGAGTCTTCGCAAAGGCATTGACTACTTTAGACAAGCAAGTTCTAGAAATATATTGGTTTGATTTCCAATGAAAACTAACAACAGTGTCATTTTGGTTGAAGACTGTGCGCTCCTCAGTGTCCTACCTGAAGAGAAGCAAACTAGGGGGAAGGAAAAGAAGGGGGTTGGGGAAAGACCTGAGCATGGCTCTTTGGACAGCCGGGCATTACTTTCCCTGCACAAATCAGACCTGATTCACAGCATAAAACAAATTGTATTGAAATCGTTGGCCCTCAAAAAGGGCATTTGTATGAAGTCCCACACTTACAGTATAGATAGAATGTTAACTGAGAGCCTCTTCACAATGAACTCTTCCACATTAGAAGAAAACTGTAACAAAGGTTAATAGATATCAATGATTGAATTGCTGTATAAAGATTATTTATTCCAAAATAGAAAAAAAAGGGATTGTAGAGAAGTAGTCTCTTAGAAACTAGAAGGGGTGGAGAGAATAAGAGAGAGGGGGAAAACATGCTATATTTCATTATTTAGAAGAAAAGATTTGCAGACCATTTCCATAAGGCATCTGTCATTCTCCCTTCCATAGCTGGTACCTTAAGAGTGAGTTCAATAGTTCCGTGTTGCCTTTGAAAAGGCTCCTTTTCCTTTGAGCTGTCTTATAGAAAGGGTGCCCTGGATTGACCATGCCCCTCCAGGGTTACATTTCTCCTTTAAGTGGAAATGAAAACAACAATAATAAGGTCACAACAAGAAAACAAAAACCAGAAAGTCTACAAAATCTAAGGCCTGAACAGGCACAGACTTGCTATGAGGTCAGAAAATCAGTGAATGAATTAAAATTACAAAGCACCTCTTGCAAAATATACTGCTTCTTGAAAACCACAAAAATACTGTGCCTTAACCCCTGCTGAGTACTTGGAGGTAAGTATCCTGGAGGACACACACTTGGCCCCATGAAGGAAGTCTGATTTTATTGTCAAGCGTGCCAAGGAGGTCTCAATGCTCTTCATTATTTGCTGTTTTATAATTATAGACAAAATGGAAGTCAAGAAGTATGTAGACTTCGATATTGAAAAAAAGTTTCTCTAAGAAGTAAGAACCAAGCTGGACTTAGGCATTCATAGTTGTACAGTTCCATTAAAGATTCTTACAGATGATTCACTAATATTGACACTATAAAAATCCCTTTTGCAAGGACATTATTAAATTTAATAGACTAAAGAGAGAATTATACTGTTTCAGATTGTACACACAGTATTTGTGCACCTAACAATAAAGGGCCTTGAAAACTGTCTTTGTTTATAAAGTACTACTGCCCTTAGGAAATAAAAGCTCCCTCATGACCCCTGGGCTACTTTCCTGTGACACACAGTGCCACTAATATGGTGAAAATTCAGTACTAAACATAGTTTAAGATGAGTTTTGTATATTTGCTTCTATACAATCAGGAGAAAAAGAGATACAATTTGTATCAACAAAAGGTCATTTCTGGTTATTTGCGGCATTGCTCCTAGCTGCTTTGGTTCATACACATTTTATGAGAAGAACGGTGATCCTTTTTAGAAAATAAAAACTACAGGTGCTACTTCAAAAGACTTCCCCTATTGGGAGGAGCTTACAGTTATTCTGTGTACTAAAAATGAACATGTTTGAGATGCTTTGCAGCTCACAAGACTAATCTTGTGCTTCCCTGTAAATTGCAAAGCTAGTGGATACTACACTGTCATTGATTTTGGTCAGAAGATCAGCTAACTGGCATGAAGGCATTAGAGTAATCTGAGATTGTCAAATACCCTGATTTAGACAAGGGGCAGATTTCGAAGGTCCAAGAAGTTAAAGGTAGTAAGTGATGCTTGTGTGAAGTAGCAAGCACTGCAGTGGGAATTGTCACTCTATATGGACCTGATAGAAAACATTTTTATACTTTATCAATATACCAGAAGATGGGAAGATTAGAGGGTAGGAGATAAGTGTGAAATTGTATCTTGGTAAACATTGGTTAGGATGTAATCAACTTTGACAGAGACAGAAAGCTGAAAAGCAGCATGCAAGCCATTATCAAACCACCAGAAACAACCCTGACTACAGCCTCACATTCAGATTGTTTCACAGTAAGAAACATAGGCAGTATTACACCTTCTCATGAAGAAACAAAAGGCCAAGGCCAGGCCTTCTCAACTCTCATGAAAAAGGACTCTAGAAGTTAGTAAGTTCCAGCTTCAGAAACTGAGCTGGTCATGGTTCAAAATGCTGAACTATACAATGGATTCAGAAGGGGGGCTCATTTAGTGCAGCTTAAAAAAAAAAACCCAATAAAACACCTCTTCTAGAGGCATGCAGCTACAAAGGATTCCACCCTGAGCAATATACAAATTGTGCAAATGGTGCTACTGACCCAAAGTTATGCCTTCTTTAACAATGCACCTCAGAATTGTTTAACACCAAGCGTACTCTCTAGGTGTGGTTTTGAAGTGCATAACAGAGTACTTCCCTTTTGGAAGCTGCCCTTTTCCACCTAGAAAATCCCCTAGTTTTGTCCTAATGAAATTCTACTCTACCAGTGACTGAGCTTATTGCCCAAATGGTGGACAGCAGGAGAAGGTGGATCACATGGCTATGAATTCTCTTTCACTATATTACATCCTATAATATTGAATACTGCATTGATCAGATGTCCAAGAAGCAACCTTTGGTCCCATATTGTATGAATGTTTTTTATTCGTCACTTAACGCCATCTCTCCTGGGATAAGTGGAGTGGACTCTGGTAGTAAGTCCCTTGGTCATTCAGATTCATCAGCACTTATGTATCATACACATACTATATGTGGTACTTGAGCTAATCGAGCAGCTCCTCTGTAGAAGCCTTCAACCTGACCCCTAATTTGCTAAGGTGAATAGATTTGAAAGCTAAGAACTGTTAATACATGTTGTCAAGTAAAATATGCAAAAGAAATCTAGAGTTGCTTTGCTCTGGTGCATAAGAAAGCAAAGTTTAAATAGTGGCATGTAATTTCACTTTCAAATCTAGTTGAAACTACAAAATTTGACAAAATTGTCAAGTTATTTGTGATCTATACAGGTGTAAACTAGGGACAGTATAGAGCTTACCTTCTCATTATCACCATAGAAAAGGTTATACCAGAGATACAAACACATCACAAACCAAATATATAAATTCATACATGCGATAGAATTGTTAAGAAGAGGATTTAGATCTGTTTCTAGAAGCTTCAATATGACCTATAACTTTGTTAAAGATGTTGAGTGATCAGATCTTCATGCGATAAAGTCTGTGTTTACTTTTAAATAGTTTTTAAGGTTCCTATTAAAAACCCTAAAAGGTTAAATCATGATATAATCTTACCCTGATGTGTTTGCTCTGTCAATTGGATAGATGGGATAGATGATTCATACTTTATAATAAAGAATGTGTGATTAAGAAAACACTGGTAGTAAAACCCTTGGGGTTTCTTGAGTTTAGGCCTCCCCTCCTGGGTTTTGTCCTCCATTACCTGCATGGTGCAGTGAAAAGGGGCATGAGACTTGGGGTCAGAGAACTTGAGTGTTTGTCTTGACTTGGTCATTTGCCAGCAGTGTGACCTTGGCAGATCAGTTAATCTCACCAGGCTTTAGCTTCCTTATCTATAAAATAAGATATAACTAAGATATACTTCACAGAGTTGTTATGCACTTAAATGATGTAAACACTCTGCAACTTTGAAAGCACAACACAAAGTATTAATTACTGTAATCATAGTATCTGTGTATTATTAGTGCTAATATTGATATTTATGTAAAGAGTATGTCTTGTGTCATGTCAACGTGCAGCCCTAAGCTTGGCCACAATCAAGGCTGCCAGTTGCTGGGCATCTGCTGTATGGGGATTCTTCTCCATCACTGCAAGAACAATGTTAGAAGGGAAAATGTTGCAGAGGTTCTTGTAGGTCTGATATTGGTGCTCTGGTATTATATGCTCCCTGGAATCATTGCACATTCCAACCCAAGGATTCCTCCAAAGCTGCTCCATCTTTTCAGGCATGCTCCGTACCATGACCGGCTCATAACATGGTTGCATGAGGCTGTTACCTAAGGGATAGGAGTGGTATCCATAGGAGTCTGCTGCACAGGGCAATGGATCCCAGCTAGCATGCTGTTCCCGGCACAGAGGAGGCCGCCTTTGCCTCACCGGGTTACTGTCATATAGGCGGGAGTCGGAAATGCTGTCCATTCGTGTCATCACCAGAGCACGGCCTGGCTGGGAGGTTCCCCCAGGGTGGATATTAGGAGGCATAGTGTAGTCTCCAGGACAGCTGGAGTGTGCTCCAGTTGCTGGGTGCTGGGCATGCAGAGCTAAGTGGGGGACTGACTGCTTGTGGGGGGCTTGCTTGGAATCTTCTGAACCATAGCTTTGCACTCTCGTTAAGGCTTCATGGTAACCATGAGAGAAAGGCTGAAGATGGTTCTGAGAAGCTGAGCGGTGCAGCTTCAAAGTGCCTTCAGGATGGGCATCAGCTACAGCCAAGTACAAGTTGTTGTAAGAGGAATAGTTGTCATTCCTGGTGTGGCTCATGTGACTGTCAGTACAGAGGCTAGGATTTCGCACGTATACCCCCTGGTTTGCTTCTGCCACGTAGTACTCTCGATTGTGCATGGTGTTGATGCTCAGTTTAGAGAAGTCGCTTAACATTGAATAGTAGCCATGGTCCCCCATGGAATCAAACTTTGGATATTGCTCAGCATAGCTAATAGGGGTCCCATGGCTGTTGGTAACCAGGATAGGGGGGTATTGCATGCTGACCATGTGCTCCAAGGAAGCCTTTTGATGGGGGAAATGTGAGGATCCTGGCACTGGGCTGCTGGCCGAACGGGTGTTAAGTGCACCCACTGCATGGCTTTTGGGGGGTGGGATTGTGGGGACACTTAAAGCAGTTACAAGCGAGGGGACAGAACTGGCCTCAGGCTTACGAGAAATGGACAGCCACTCCTCGGGCTCCACAGCTACAGACCGGATGCTGGGATCTGATTGGCGCTTGGGGGCCACACGTTTGACCTCTGAGGTTATCTCACCTTTGGCACTAGACATCCCTGTGCCACACTTGGCCAGGGTGTCTTCGCTCATTATTTTCACTGTGGACAGTTTGGCACTGATGCGGAGCTCATCAGCCACCGAACGCTGGGGTTGGTTGGCCCGCTCCGGATGATAGTATTTGCACTTGTGGCCGTAGGTGCATTTTTTGCCTGAAAAATAATGCCTTTGGGTAAGACTCTCTCTCATAGCCGTATAACCCTCTGTGCCAGAAATTGTAACAATCTGGTCACTCAGGTTAGGGTCATACTGTTTGGGGTTAAGGCAGGAAGTTAACTCTCCACAAAGATGAGAGACAGACAACACCAAGGAGTCATCACATACTGTGAGGGACGAGGGAGAAAGTGGAAAGCCTAGGAGGAGATTGCCGTGTAAATGCTAATATCTGAGCAATTGCCTAGCCTCCGTTTTCTGGTAATGTACAACTTTTCCTAGGCATGCTCTGTATGCTGAAGCAGCCAATGTAGAAGAAGGGAGCATGATGAAGTGCAAAGGGCACCCATTCAGACACCAGCTGGAAGTTTCAATTCCAGCTATGTCCTTTACTGGCTGTATGACCTTGACAGATGACTTTATTTTTAAGCCTCATTTTTCCTCTTCTGTAAACAAGATTCATAATCATGTCTATGTTATAGGACCATTGTGAAAATGAAATGAGACAGTACACATGAAAATACTCTGATTTAAACATGAATTGAGGACAAAAACAAAAAATTCTCTCCTCAACAAATGATTATTCAAAAGGAGCAGACATCTGAAATAGCCTCTGACCAAGCAGCCCATATTGCACTGTTAGGCTTACAAACTTCGTATCATGGGAATTTTGATAAGAGCACAAAAACACTCAGGAAAACTGTATCTCTAAAAATGCAAATGAAAGTTAAGTTTAGAGGCAACTGAAGTACAAATCAGAAGAAAATGGTATTATTAGTTGACAGAAGATTTGGTCACCTGCCCGAGGGACATGGTCTTCTTGGGGTCAATAATCCTTTGGCACTGACCTTTCTGCTTCTGTCGCCTATATAGTTTTTGCATGTCCTTATTCTTGGCAACATCACACAGGACTTAGGCATCTAGAGCACATGTGTTATTTTAACAAGGGACCACTTATCGTCCCTTCAATTCTAATTACCTTTTCCTCCTGCAGCTTCTAAGATTTTTAAACATCTGAGAGTACATATACACGTTTTAACTCACAGAAAGTAGACAAGCCAAGATTTCCCAGTTGAAAGAGAAATCTGGAAAAGAAAATGATTCACAGAGTCCTTATGTTTCCATTAGTACAGAACTCAGTTCTGTACATAGGTACTTACCATAAGGACATGGTTGTTTCTTATGCTCAGGAACAACAGGTCTCTTTCTTAAGAAATTCTCAAGGCTTGGACCATGGCGTCCTAAAGGATCATCTGGAGGCATAAATCTGAAAGCATGCCAACAAGAGGTGAATGTCTTCCCTTCTGTCCCTGTTGCTCCTTACAAGAGCTCAGGCTTTCATTCTACCTTGCCTGTTCTATGGTCATAGCTTTCTATGTGCTTTCTACATCATATGTGTCTACTGTTAACACAGCATTCTTTTCCTTTGTTCCTACTTGATCACATAGAAAGCATTACTTCCCCTGTGCTTCATTATTTCATGGACTGATTTGCACCACTCACATTGGCATGAATGCTGGTATCCCCAGTATGTTAGCCACTTTCGCACCATCATAGATGTATTCATAATATTCCTTTCACCTGTCATACCCAGAAGCCTTCTTTATTCTATAAAATTCATTTCAAAAGACAAAACAATCTTAACATACTGTTTCTTTGTCTGTCTCTCTCCAGGTCTCTCCTCTGTCTCTTCCACTACACTTTGAGCTCTTTGAGAGTGAGTCCTGCTCCCAATTCAGCCTTTCATCTCCATAGAAACCAGCATAATGTTGTACATTAAATGTTCAGTAAATGGTTATTGACATGAAATGCAATGCATTGCTACTAGTAACTTGTATACAAATATTCAGAGATTACTGGAAAGAAACTCACTTATCATTCACAAAAGAATACATCAGCAACCGCTCCTCTATAAACTTCTTCCATTCTGGCTTTTCAACTTGAAGGTCTCGGTAGTTATCATTGGACACAATGATGCCATCAGAATCAAAAGCCAATTTGACTATGAATCGGTCATCATAGCAGACCACCCTTCTGCCTTGGACCCTTCGGGATGGTGTGAAGACAAGGATTTTTTCCTTCTCCAGTTTACGTAGAATATCTTGATCTGTGAAAATATGATTATATGCCACAAAGTAGAAATCATCTTTGGAACTTAACAGTGTTAGCCTCATATTACCAAAACAAAAGTTGGCACTGGGGAAGTCTTGTATTTGGCCTTGGAGAACAACTGTGTTGTGTATCTGGCTGTATTATCAAGTTGAATTGTAACCTTCGGTAAGTCATTTTCTCTTTATACTTCAGCTTTCCTTTCAATAAGATAAAAAAGCTAGATTCAAACACAATTAATTCTTAAGAACTATCACAAAGAACTAACACTTGATCTAACATGCTTTTTCTTTCTGAGACACAGTCTTACTATGTAGCCCAGGCTAGCTTAGAAGTTAACATCCTCCTACTCAAGTCTCCCAAGTGCTGGGATTACAGATGTGTCCCATCACAGTTAGGTTACCCTAGCATTCTTGATGCTTGTTTTGCCTTTTGTCTGAAGCATCTGATTGGTTTCTGTGGTTCTGGGCTTGGAACCCAGGGTCTAGAGCACGCTAGGCAAGTGCTATACCTCTGATCCATATCCCCAGCTCTAGCACTACCTTCTTGACTAGTGAAGAAAACTCAGAGGTAGCCAAGAATGTGTCTGGCAGGAGGAGAGTAGAGCATCACTCATGAACTGTTTCATTTTTTTTTTACTTGTACCTGAAAGAAGGACAAAACTAAGGCAGGAAGCCAAGCTGCACATTTGCATAGTGGCTCTCTCTTTAAAAAAAAAAAACCACTTGTTTTTATTGTGTGTGTGTGCAAGTGTGTGCATACATGTGTGTGTATACATGCATGCACACATGTGCACACCATAGTGTGCATATGCAGGTCAGAGGACAACTTTTGGGAGTTGGTTCTCTTTCTACTACTTGGTTACAGGGATTGAGCTCAGGCTTTCAGGCTTGGCAGCAAATGCCATTACGTGCTGAGCTGTCTCCTTGGCCTGTGAACCTCTTTCTTTTTGAACTCAGTTACTTAGGAGAAAAAAACTTGCTTGGTGGGTTTGAATGGTACCAAGATCTACTCTTAGACTGAGGCATGGGTCTTCTCAATAGATGCACACAGCTCTACACAGAGCTCAACCATTCATTCACAGGACTTTCTTTTTTCTTTTTCTTTGTTTCTTTCTTTCTTTGTTTCTTTCATTTATTAGCCTTATTTATTTTTATTTATTTATTTATTTATTTATTTATTATTTATCCTTTTTGAGACAGGGTCTCCCTGTAGCCCCAGCAGGGGGCCTGGAACTTGCTATGTAGACCAGGTTGGCCTCAGTCTCACAGAGATCCACCTGCTCCTGCCTCTCGAGTGCTGGGATTAAAGGCATGCACCACCACGCCTGGCTCACAGGACTTTCTTAGTAGATACAGCAGGCTAGAGATGGTAAGCAGAGGACTGGGATTTATATGTTCTTCGGTGCTATAAAAAACACCTACTAGGCTTAACGTTTAGAATGGTGGAAACTAGTGTTCTGCTAAGAATACATTTTAGAGGTTTTGATAGTTACAGGCATGTTAGGTTAGTCACAGGCATAGGCAATGAGTGGTTTTCAAGGTGACAGAAAAATAGCCCAAGATAATCTAGCACTAGTTTGCAACGTTTTAGCCATGCACATTTACAAGGTTCAGTCATTTGGCATTGAGGAATCTTTTTTTTTTTTCATTTTTAATGTTTTTCATTTGTTTCTATTGACACATTGGGTCTTAATATGTATAGAAGAGGTATGTTGGTTCCAGTGGGAGGGAGGCTATGGGAGGGTGCCAGCCTTAAAGAACCTTTAACACAGGTGCAGCTTCCTTTCTTTCCCTAGAAACTTCAGCTTACACATTCAAAACTTACTCATATCTCTTATTTTTCTATGTAGCACCTTGCATTGAGTCATCTTTTTTTTTCTCCTTCTCCTCCTCCTGGTTCTCCCTCCCTCTCCCCATTCCTCCTCCTCCTCCTCCTCCTCCTCTTCCTCCTCCTCCTCCTCCAAATGACATACTCCTTCTCTTCTTTCTCCTCCCCTTCCTCCTCTTTCTCCTCCCCTTTCTCCTCCTCTTCCTCCTCCTCCTCCTCCTCCTCCTCTTCCTCCTCCTCCTCCTCCAAATGACATACTCCTTCTCTTCTTTCTCCTCCCCTTCCTCCTCTTTCTCCTCCCCTTTCTCCTCCTCTTCCTCCTCCTCCTCCTCCTCCTCCTCTTCCTCCTCCTCCTCCTCCAAATGACATACTCCTTCTCTTCTTTCTCCTCCCCTTCCTCCTCTTTCTCCTCCCCTTTCTCCTCCTCTTCCTCCTCCTCCTCCTCCTCCTCCTCTTCCTCCTCCTCCTCCTCCAAATGACATACTCCTTCTCTTCTTTCTCCTCCCCTTCCTCCTCTTTCTCCTCCCCTTTCTCCTCCTCTTCCTCCTCCTCCTCCTCCTCCTCCTCTTCCTCCTCCTCCTCCTCCAAATGACATACTCCTTCTCTTCTTTCTCCTCCCCTTCCTCCTCTTTCTCCTCCCCTTTCTCCTCCTCTTCCTCCTCCTCCTCCTCCTCCTCCTCCTCTTCTTTCTCCTCCTCCTTCTCCTCCTCCTCCATCTGAAACCTATAACAGTTTTCCCTACTTTGCTGAAACTGGGTTACCAGTCAACCTGTGGCCCCCACCAATGAATTAAGTAAATGCTTTGATTTATGACTTTCTTTGTTCTGTAACTAATAAAACTTCATGTAACCACATTCACAGTGGAACATATCTTTAAGCCTATGTACTTGGGCCATGGTCTTGTACATGTGGCTAAAGAATAAACTATTTCATATTTTCTCTCCCCCACCCCCACAAAAGAGGGTATACTGCATGAACTGCTATAAGTGAAGGTAGTGAATATACTGCCAGTATGTGGTCCACATCATGACTTTTGTAGAGTCCAGACACCTATCTTTTCATGAACTCCTTCTTCCATAAAAATATTAGAAAGTCCATTTTAGAATTGCATTGATATAAAGGAAAAGATAATCCGATTAGATGTATTGGTACACATTGTTATTATATTATATTATATATTTTCTTCTGATGTGAAAAGAAAATGCAATAGAAACATATTTGTAGGGATTTAAAAAGTCTAATTATCATTAGGCACTGAGCCCGCTTTGCCTCATATATAAATTGGTTCTGCCTGTCTTTGGATTTTTTCCCTCTCTGTTATACCTCCTAATTTGGAAACCCCACAATTACTCCTCTAGTTCAAAATGAGATGCCCTTTATATTATAGAATTTTAGTTTTTTGAAAAATATTAAGTCATGTTAATAATCAGATTTATCTTCTATAGTCTGAAATCTATGATTAAACAGAAAAACAGTTTTTTAACAGATGGGCTCATTGTGCAGCCCAGGCTGGCCTAGAACTTACTATGTAGCCCAGGTTAGCCTCAAACTCATCATCTTCCTGCTTTGCAGCACTACTCCAATCTGAAAAATATTTTTTCCAATTATGTGCTTTATCTTTTACAGAAATTAAGTCTTTATTTAACTATAACATACCACAAAACAATGGTGGTTTCATATGGATCACTTTATAAAAGATACACTCACTAAAAAACATTTTAACTATACTTAGCAACTTAAAAAAGCCATTATCTAAATTGGGACCATTGACTTCTATGCAAATTATGTTATTATCTTTATCTCTAGATGACAAGAATTTTTTTTTATTTGAAATAGTACCTGTAATTGGTGCATCAGGGCGGGATTGCTCCTTTCTCCATGCAGGTACAAATACAGTGATATCTTTATGGCCTTTGTCTAAAAACCAATCTACAGCAAGTTGTATTCCCCGGCAAGAGAATTCTTCTTTGTTCCCATGGCTACAGAAAAGTATAGAGAATAAGAGACAAGAGAGTTGACAATAAAGAGCAAAATGAAATACTCCACCAGACTTTTACTTTTTCTTAGTACTAAGATTAACAACAGGGGCCCTTCCTTCCTTCCTTCCTTCCTTCCTTCCTTCCTTCCTTCCTTCTTCTTTCTTCCTCTTTCTTCCTTCTTTGGTGTTTTGAGGCAGGGTCTCCTTGTAGCCACAGCTGGTCTGGAGCTCACTATGTAGATCAGGCTGGTTTCAATCTCACAGAGATTCATCTGCCTCCACGTCTTGAATGCTGAGATTAAAGGTGTACACTACCATGGCTAGCACATTCCTTTCAGTTTCCACCCGTTTTTTTTTTTTTCCAGACAGAGTCACACTGTATAACTCAGGCTGCCTTGGACACACTATCTAGTTGAAGCTGTCCTCTAGCTGGTGATCATCTTCCAGCCTCATTCTTCCAAGTGCTGAGATTAAAGGCTTGCATCATCATTCCTGGCTGACAGTTTCTTTCTTGATCCTGTCAAATTCAGGATCTATGCAAGCATGCTATTACTGAGGTATACTCTTATCCCAGAGAATGTATTTTTAAAAGAGATATTTAGGGGCTAGAGAACAGTTCCAGAGTAATCCAACACCCTTTTCTGACCTCTGTAGGCATTACACAACACTATAGGGGTGCACTTGCATGCACTCAGGCAATACACTCATACACTAAAATAAAAAAAAATAAAATATATAAAAATAGAAAATCATATTCTTTTTATTCTATTATTGTAAATCTTGTGTTTATTATTACAAACTTTACTGAGGGCTACAGGTGGTTAATAACAACTCTCAACTTAAACCAGGCACAGCAACTATTTCCTACTATAAGTTTCATTTTCTCTCTCCTTTCTGTTTTTACTGCCACCTTTGTTCAAAGATTTGTAACAGATTTTAATATGTTTTTTAAAAAATAGGGCATTTATAAGAAATCTAGATAAAATTTATATGGAGGGAAGTTGAATGTGCGTCTTACACACACACACACACACACACACACACACACACCCCTACAGTGTAACCCCATGGCCTCAGGCATGTTAGAGTTTTGAGACATCTTCCCAACCACTGAGCACATATGTCAAGCTGAATATATGACACTGATAGTAAAATGATGCACATGGAAGTGCTCTTCTTATTATTCTAACTTAAAAAGTCAAGCATTTATTTTATAATTGTAACATGGTGCAATAATAGAAGAAATTGTATTGCCCTAATCTTTGTGCAATTTAAAAAAACCTAAGCAGGCCCAAAAGCTAGCCTGCCTGTGCTGTCCTCACACTCCCAGGCCTAGCTCAGGCTGTGTAGCTCAAGCACTGGCCCAGGCCAGTGAGTGTTTGTGAAATCCAAATTCAGGATCTAGAGGAGCTGGGAGATTAAAAAAGATTCATGGAGCTGCTGAAAATGTGACATACTTTATTTATCTGTGCAAGAACCTGTGCCCTTGGTCCCAGGAACATATTATAGGAAATCACACAATGGTGGCTTCTTGAAAAAATTGGTTGTATAATGACTTACATAATGGCAACACACTGTTTATTCATGGTTCCTCTGACATCTGGTAGTAACCATCCTAACTAAGTCATTCCAGAAGTTTTGATTCCCTTCAGTGATCCAGATCCTAGCCCACCCACAGGATCTTCACACTCTCAGGCTTACTTCAGGTAATGCAGTTTGTGCATCATCCCAGGCAGACCCAGCTGGGAGTCCTGGTTTCTTGATTATCAATTAACTGGAATCACCCCCATCCCTACAATAAAAAATCAACTCTGAGTACCTGAAAGACTGACCTACCAACTTTTCCTACCTTGTCTGAAATCAACCAAGCTTAGACAGTAAGAAAACAGAACCAAATTTCACTCAATAGAAGCAGGCTAGAATCTCATTTCAAACATAAAACCAACAAAAGAAGTTAACATTCCTAGGTCACATTGCAAAACCCCAAGCATATGAAAGGCCAAAAAAAAAAAAAAATCCTCTCCTAATCCACTAGCCCTATAAAAATGTTCTATAGTGAGAATTACCTGGATGAACACTAGAATACAGACTTTAACAGAACAATCATAAACATGATCAAATAATATATGGAGTTTATGGAAGAGATGAAAAACAACAACAGCAAAAATCCCCACCTAACTGAACTTAACAATAGGAATAAAGTCCTGAGTTAAGTTCAAGAAAACACAAATATAGAGCTGGATGAAATGATGAAGACAATTTAGCATGTGAAAACTGAGTTCAGTAAACAGAAGCACTGAAGAAGTCACCCCATACAACCCTGAGAACCAGGTGCCTCTGCCTGCTGGACCACTTCCATTTCTGGTCACCTCAAAGCCCTGCCACTGTTTTTCAAGGACCCTCACCTCCTCCTGACTCCTTGTCTCTCTTTGGGACTTGACATTTCCCACTCCATTCTCTACCAGGGACACCCTGGAGCCCTGAAAGTTGTCTGACTGGCATCCTCCAGTTGTTCCATCCAGTCTTGAGACCCAGGGTTGGACCACATTGCCAGGGGAAACCTGTTCTAAGTTCCCTGATTAAGGCACTTCAGGCACCAAACTGTAGCTGACAAACAGAAGACCTAGGATAGAGGCTGTAGCCCTAAGGACTAGACATAGGAAGTGGCCATCTCAATCGTGGCATGAATTTACTTCCTCCTGAACATTATAAATACCTGCTGAAAGAAGAAAAGTCAGTTGAACAAAAAATAAATGAAGTCAACTAACTAACGCCAGATGCACAAATCTGTAGAAGTAAAAATTCAAAAACAGAAAATAACATGCCTCCTCTAAAACAGTACAAATGCCATAGTAATGGCTCCTAATAAAAATGACCTGAAAGAACTTTCAGACAAAGAATTCAAAAGAAAAATTTAGCTATGGTCAAATCAAAGATGAAAAAGTCAAAAAGATGAATTAAATGAGGAAGACAATCCAAGTCATGCAAACAGCGTTCAAATTGTTGAGGCAAACCCAAACTGAAATGACTCTGGAAAAGAAAAAGTCAATAAGCTAAATAAAAACTTGAGTGGGAAAGCTTTACTAACAGAATGGATCATGTTGAAAATAGAGACAGGGATGGAAGGCAAAGTACTGGAACTGGGCCACTAAGTATAGAGCAATACAAAACAAAGAAAACAATAGGAACATAGGAGAGTTTGGGGACACCATGTGTTAGATAGGCATGTCCTCTGAAAGAACTACCAACACCTGGATGTCTGAACCCTAAGATACTCTGTAGAAAGGAAGAGAGACAGTCACCCCTCCCACTCAATTGCATGTGGGGGCGTGGTCTAAGGAGAGACATGGAAGAAGCCAGGGAGGTGGTGGGAGTTTTGCCATCTTGGCCAGGGCTTGGCTGAGATATAGGGAAAAAAGCCCATGGGCATCCATACCTTTGTGACTTCCTCCCGGATAACATAAGCTTCGTTGGCAAGCCCAAATAAATACCTTTATTCCCTAAACTGTACCTTAGAGGGACATTGTGTCAATTTGTCGGTGAGGTCCTAAGGACAGCGTGGGCCCTGGGAGCCGAGAGTGTGCGCAGTGTGGGCCTCTCATAAGAGAATTTCACTTTACACCATGAAAAGACCTAACTTTCAAATATGGGCATAGAAGGAGAAGGATACTATAGCAAAGGCATAGAAAATACCTTTAGTAATATCGTAGAGAAAAACTTTCCAAACCTAGAGAAAGATATGCCCACTCAGGTACAAGAGGCCTACAGAACACCAAATAGAGAGGACCAGAGAAGAAATTTTCCACAACGTATTATAATTAAGACATTAAAACACAGAATAAAGAATGGGTATTGAAAGACGAAAGAAAGATCAAGTCACTTACAAAGGCAGACTCATTAGAATAATACCCGATTATTATTTACCAGAAACATTTAAAGCCAGAAGGACCGCAAACGATGTATCAAAGTCCTAAAAGAGAACAACTGTGAACCCAGGCTATTGTATCCAGCAAAACTATCTAAAAAATTGAAAGAAAAGTAAATTCTTTCCATGATAACATGATTTATAACTACTAAAACAGTTTACAGAAGATACTAGAGAGATTACTTTAATCTGAAGAGAAGGATAAAAACACCCACGAGGTCACAGGGAACACATAATGCCACCATAGGTCATCAAAAGACATGTGAGAAGACACCACAAAATTAACAGAATTATAGGAATTCATATACATCTTTCAATAGTAATTCTTAATATCCTCAATTCCTCACTAAAGAGACACAGACTAACAGGCTGAATTAGAAAATGGGATTCATCTTTTTGCTGCCTCCAAGATATATGTCTCAGCATCAAGAATAGACAACACATTAAGGTTATTCCAAGAAAACTGATCTAAGAAACAACCAAGCATAGCTACTTTAATATCTGACAAAATAGACTTCAAACCAAAACTAGTCAGAAGAGATAAAGAGGGACAATTAATACCAATTAATGGAAAAGTTCACCAACATGATATTACAATCCTAAATGTATGCCCACCAAACACAGGTTAATCCAGTTTCATTAAAAATACTAGGAGTTCTCAAATCACAGAATAATCACAACAGTGATGGTGTGAATTTCAATACCCCACTGTCACCAACAGATAGGTCATCAGGAAACAAAAGAAAATAGAGAAACTCAGAAGTTAAATAACATCATAAATGTGTTTATAGTAGCAAGAAAATCCCCTTAGTGTTCTGGGTGGGAACCACATTCCAAGTGAATAACCTGGCCACAGACCAGCCCTAGCACTCTGGGTTCATTTTGCTTCATGTTAAAGAGATTGGAGGGATACTTAGTGCATTAAGGATATGTTAAACATTTCCTGCATGGAATTCCCACCTCCTGAGGCAATATCTTGTGGGTGAGCAGCCTTGTAGCTCCAGAAACCTGTACCTTTTCTTATTTTCTCTCTCTTTTCTAAGCATGCTTTCCATAACACTCCAGGGTGCCCCGAC